TGGCGGATCCCGCGCATCCCTCGCGGCAGCCCGGCAGGCCGGTCCCGTCCCTGCGTGCCTCGGCCTTGGGTGGATAAATGTCATGCGAGGCAGCGACTGACCCGCCAAAGCCGTGAAGTCCGAACATGATCCATTGGCAGAGAAGCAGCTGCTTTCATGTGCATTTTAAAACGTCGCAACTTTGTATTGTGTGGCTGTTTTTCTTTCTCTCCCTGCCAAGGCCCCGCTCCTGACACGGTCCCAGCAGCTCCCGGCAGGGCAGGGCTGCGGGAGCCACACGCACCTTTCTGAGCATTCCTTCAGGGATGCAGGCAGGAACAAACCGCGGAGGCCCCGCTGTCATATAATGCCTTTCAAACCGTGCTGTAACTGGAAAGTAGTTTTATTTTTGCCTTTATTAATTGTGTTGAGAGGATATTCCCCTTCCTCGCCAGTCTGATTACTATACATTTTATTCTCATTTCCAGCCTGAATGTATTAAGGGCCAGTTTGTAGCCATGGCCAAATTTTGTTACTGCATCAGTCAGTTCCCTAAGTCATAACGATTTCTGGAGAAACACCCTGCCTGAGGGAAAGTACATACCCTGGTTTTTTTTCCCTGATTGAAGGAAGTTACCAAATAAAGACCAGGGAGTTGTGCAGATCTGCTGCATGTTGGAGAAGGGCTGGGTGGATTCTGGCACCCATCAGGGCAGTGCTCCAGGACACCGAGTGAGCCCCTTCTTGGAACAGGCCCTGCAGGAAGGGAGTTGTGCATGATAAACTGGTCTTGGGTGGAAATTCCATATTGTTTTCCATTATGATGTCTGAAAATAAACAGTATTACACTTTGTCTGAGCTCCTGTGCCACTATGCAATGTGATCATTGTCCTTGTTCTTTGCCAGGTGGCTAAAGTCTTCTCTTTGGTGTCCCTTTCATCCACCTCATAATCTCCCCAGCAGGATTGCCAGCACAGTTGTTTTAGGGTCAAACAATGAACTGAGGCCCTGAAATGTGCCAGAATTAAAAAGCAGATTCACATTTTGGAGGGGTTTGGGGTCCACATGCATGTGTAACTGAGACTGCTTTGTAATCACAACGTGCATAGACATCCATATGACAACTGAGGGGGCAGTGTACAGAAACATTCACATGGCTCAACAGGAACACAGCTGGGAGTGCTTCCCAAGGAAGCAAGGCTGGCTCCACAGGTTCCCAGCCTCAGCTGCTCATTCTGACACCCACATTTGGTGCTTCACCAGTTTCACCAGTTGTACCAGCACAAGTGAGTGAGGACTCAGAGGCATGAACAACTGGCTGGGTAGGAGCTGCCTGAACAACTCCATGTAAAACTGTCTTAAAATGCTTTTGGGGGATGCATTAAAATGCATTGGGGGATTGAGGAAGAGGCTCATGCTCCATTCTGCTGCCTCTCCCACAGGGACAAAAACTTCTAGCCCTGAAGAAGGGTGGTAAGCTGGGGGGACTTAAAACTCTAAAGCAGTGCACCAAGGTTTGCCAGCTTGCCTGTTACAACCTGTTCCATACCAGTTCTTTATTGTGACAGCCAAGGCTGCCCTCCCTCTGTAGTCTTGTTTACTTTATAAGGACAGAGAGTCTTTAAGAAGCCACCTATTAATGTATTTTCTTTTCATACAGCCATCCTTGAAGTCATACCATACTTTCAAAGCTGATGGTTTAAAACGTACTATTTGCTGTATAATTTGACTAATCTATTCCATTTTTAGCTAGATTTCTAGGGTGCGGGGGAAGGGGAAGTTCACTCTACATGCATCAGTATGCAAATCAGTTACAATACAATCCAGAACATGTAGGTGAGAGTTGCATTAAATGTTTCTGAACACAGTGGCCACAATACAAAATGAAAACTGATTATTCACTGTCACGGTGTCACATATATAGACATTTGTCTTGCCAGTAGTTTGAAATGTAAGCTTCCCAGGATGTGCATCTCCAATCTTGCTGGGAGGGTAGAACCTCAGCAAGAAAGCTAGAAAATTGTGTATTAGCTGTGGAGAATCATCTGGAGATAGAGAGGAAATGCTGAATTGCTGTTGGGTTAGGAGTAACAAATGAGTGCAGGAACACAAGAAGGAACAGTAGAGAAAGAAAGGAAGCACACAAGGATGTTAAACATAGATTCATGGGCAGTGCTGCCCATGGGTGGGTGGAAGAGCCACCAGCGAGAGCGTCCAGGTCTGCACAGTCTCCTTTGGGTAGCTCTGCTGCTGCGTAGGGACTATAAATCCAATTCCACTAATTTTAGAGACATGTCCTCAGCATGATTGTCTTTCTGGTTAATTAAAGCTATTTCACTGTATGGCTCCATGGTTCATGGAGTTTGCTGTTGGGCGGTCTCTTAGTTTTAGGTAACAACGGTAATAATGTTAGTACTGATTTTGCACAACTCCTTGGAATTAAAAATTCAGACCAACAGGTAACTGTGCTTTTTGTTAAGTTTAACCAGATGTTTACATCCCTTATTACAGGGTCCACTTAACTTTCTTTCCAAACATCTTTTTTCTCTTAGAACAAAACTTTACCTAGTCCTTCACAGGATAGTTAACTCAGTAATACTTGGGAAATAGTTACTCTGAAACAGTGTTTTGTAGATTAAAAAGGATAAGAAAGGTTTTCCATCAATCTCTTTTTCTTGGAACATTTGGGTTGATTAATAGTTACATTTTAACTTGTCTGGAAAACATACTGGTTTTATATTCCAATCCTTCATCTATTTCTGGAAGACGTGGGAAGGCCTGGAATGAGCAAAGCAGGAGCACAAATCTCTGAAACTCCCGTATCTCAAGTGATTATCTCACTTGTTCTTACTAGAAATTCCATCTGGAAGCTGAGATGTCTTTCCCCATGAAACTTTGAAAAAAGTTTAATTTTTTCCTCACTGAAAGAAACTTCACTTCAAATTGCTACCCAGCTGTAACTGGGAATTTGAGTCGTTAAGTTAATGAACAAGTTCCTGTTGTTGCAAAGTGGCTTCAGACCAGGCCTCCGGTGCTTCTTTTTTTTTAAAAAAAAAAAGAAAAAAAAAAAAAAGAAACAGGTATTTTTAAAATTATTATTCGATTACAGAATAACGACATAATTGTGATCAATACTTAATGATGCGACATATGAGAATAAAAATATTAATTAATCTGCAACAATCTTGCCATTAAAGATGTCGCCCACATCTCAGGCGCCCATTTTTTGCCTCCGTGTGATTCCGAAAAGCACCGGTAGGACCACCTGGGTGTGAGTTACTCTTGTAGCTTTGGGCTGTTGCGAAAATACTGCGCTCAAACACTCCCGGAGTGGGTCCTTCGTTGGCTTCTTCCCACGGTTGTCCCCGCCCGTTCCTGAAGGCCTTTCCATACAAAAGGGGGAGAAGGTTCCGCGGCCCCAGCGGCCCCTCCCGGGGATTGAGGCGCGTCTCGCACC